GTCACAAAAAATAGATAATCCTTGTATTCTCTACTTCAGCAGAAAACTGAACTTTTGTTTCAGCCAATCTATATAGAAATGATTTAACCTTCAACATAAAGGGGTACAAAGAATACATCTTTAAGATTAAGGGACATCAGAATTCTCATCCTTAATTTTCCCAGAGAGAATCCAAGACAGCCAATAATTCTGGTTATCCAATTTGCCAGGGAATTTATTTGTATGAGGTCTTAGGAAGAGCTCAGCAGGTATGAAAAAAAAAATCCAAGCTCCCACAGATTATAGGAAACCTTCATTTAAAGTGATTTTGTTATCACTTTAACCCTGTCATTACCAGAACCTGCTGCCCATTTTTCACCTGAGAAATTTGAAATCCTTTAATTACTGTGCTGTATATAGATTGTATGCATGGCTATATTATGTATGACTATGTATTGTGAAGCAATAATATTTCTGTTCTATTTAATTAATAAACATTTTTGTTTACATTGGAGGGTCACATGGAGGAATCCGGTGGTGTATCTGGAGATGTGATCAAAGTGGCAGGATCTGGGGGGATCTTGTGGTGCGATCAGAGTGGAGAGATCTGAGGAGATCTGGAGATGTGATCAGAGTTGAGGGAATCTGGGGGTGTGATCAGAGAGGGAATCTGGAGGTGTGATCAGAGTGGAAGGATCTGGGGGATCAGGAGATGTGATCAGAGTGGAAGGATCTGGGGGATCTGGAAGTGTGATCAGAGTGGAGGGAATCTGGGGGTGTGATCAGAGTGGAGGGAATCTGGTGAAGCATCTGGGGGTGTGATCAGAGTGGAAGGATCTGGGGGATCAGGAGGTGTGATCAGAGTGGAAGGATCTGGGGGGATCTGGATCTAAACAGTGATCAGAGTGGAGGGAATCTGGAGGTGTGATCAGAGTGGAGGGAATCTGGTGAAGCATCTGGGGGTGTGATCAGAGTGGAAGGAATCTGGGGGTGTGATCAGAGTGGAAGGATTTGGGGGAACGGATGTGTGATCAGAGTGGAGGGATCTGGGGGGGATCTGGTGGTGTGATCAGAGTGGAGGGAAATCTGGTGGAGGATCTGGGGGTGTGATCCGTGAGAGAATGACATGACCTGAACTGAACATGATGGAAAATGTTACCCTGAAATGTTGTTCCTCATTTTACTGCACTATTAAATTCTCACGGCCAGCAAATAAAAAGGGATTTTCTTCCATTGCTAAACTTAGGAAGAATCAAAAAGAATTAGAAATGTTTATAGGCAAGACATTAAAAACATTGGAGTGGAGGACCCTCCATTAGAGGGACTGGAGTTGTTGAGATCAGGTGCATTGGTATGTTCAAACATGACAATGTTATCAAAGAGGATGGCATACGTTTTCTCCAAATCTTCTGCCTTACAAAAGCATTCACCTGTCTTGGTGGTATCATCTTCTTTCCTTAGCAATTTCATAAACAGGGAAGTTTCCTTATAACAGAACAGTCACTGACAGGGAAGCCTTTCTGTCTCTCTCAATCTTTCACTTGGAAGAATCTCTCAGGAACAGTTTAATATGGAAATATCTCTGGTGGGATGGCAGTCTTTCAGGAAACACAAGGGGCTCTCTAATAACACGCACAATCCTCTATAATGCAATAAATAATTTGCGCTAGTGAATATATCCATAAAAAAAAATATATATATATATGTATAATAAAAAAATATTAAAAAGAAAAAGTTCAAATAATAAGTCCAAAATTTAAATACCAATACCACAAAAAAAATGTGCAAAAAAATGTGCAAAAAAAGTGTCTAAATGTGACAAAACACCACCCAAAAAACCTTAATAATATGATGGCAAGTCATCCGGCGGAGCTTGATTGATGACGTCATTACGTTTGCTAAGCTACTGCGCATGTGCTGAGTAGCTAGGTTCGTTTTATGTGATTGCTGCTATGCTGTTGATGCTGGTGTTGGCTGGGACACCTCCTGAGTAAGTGCAATGAGTACCTAATAAAGGAAATTGGTTTTTATAATACTGCACTATGAAGTTCCTTTGTTTCTCTCGAGTGCCTGGCATCTTCTTCCTTGGATACGATTGAAGGTGGTTTTTCTTTTGGAGAAGTGGATTTCCGGGATAAATTGAAAAGTTTCTTTCATTTTGATATTGGTCTATGTGGATCGGTGTTCTGCAGAATTTCGTTTCCTGAAGATATACCTATGGATGACTTGCCATCATATTATTAAGGTTTTTGGTGGTGTTTTGTCACATTTAGACACTTTTTTTGCACATTTTTTTGCACATTTTTTTTGTGGTATTGGTATTTAAATTTTGGACTTATTATTTGAACTTTTTCTTTTTAATATTTTTTTATTATTCATATATATATATATATATATATATATATATATTTTATGGATATATTCACTAGCGCAAATTATTTATTGCATTAATTGTTACACTTTATTTATTTATGGTGATTTTTTGCAGCTGGTACACTATAAGTGATTTATATATAATTTTTTATTTTCCATAGGCTCTATTATATATTTTCTTTAATCCTCTATAATGAACCTGTTTTATGTGTATGTAAACTAGAGTTTATAGTGTGAGATGTCCGATCAGCTGCACTCCAAACAATCCACTTTATTGAACAAAATTAAACCAATACAGACAGTGGAAATACAGTGGGGGGATTGGCAGGTAAATGCATTTCACACTAAAGACAGCGCTTATTCATTGAGCAAGCGCTGTCTTTGGCATGAAACGTGTTTACCTGTCAGTCCCCCCACTGTATTTCCACTGTCTGCATTGGTTTTATCTTTGTCCAATAAAGTGGATTGTTTGGAGCGCAGCTGATCGGACATCCTTTGTTCTCATGTACGCAGCACACAAGCTGGGCTAGCACCTACAGGAGGAGTTGTGCTTGGAGATTAGGAGTCTCTCTACCTTGAGTAGCGGTAAACATATATAGAGAGTTTATAGTAATATTGTGTACTTTTTTACCAACCATTGAATAACTCATAGACCTATCTTATAGACCAGCGGTTCTCAACCTGGGGGTCGCAACCCCATTGGGGGTCGAACGACACTTTCCCAGGGGTCGCCTAAGACCATTGGAAAAACATATTTCCGATGGCCTTAGGAACCGAGACACCGCTCCTTGATCCGTCTGCAGGTGTGGGCGGGATGACATGCAGTCCCTGTGATCTGGACACACCCCCGGGATCAATCCTTCCTCGTCGGTGATTGGCCGCCGGAACTGTAGCTCAAGAGAGGCACACAGGCGGCCAATCACCGGCGAGGAGGTGGAGCTTGGAAAAGGAGGAGCCGAGCGGCACCGCGAAGCACGAGCGAGTGAAGAGGAGGAAAGCGGCCGGAGAAGGAAGCCATCTGACCGGTAAGTGTTTGTACCATGGGAGAGGGAGGGAGCGAGCGAGCCCAGGCTGGAGCAGGGGTCAGCAAGGTAAGTATCATTGGTGTCAGTGGGAGGAATAGTGCCCAATCATTGGTGTCACTATTACCAATGATGGTGCACTATTCCTCCCCCCACTGACACCAACGATGGGGCACTATTCCTCCCACTGACACCAACGATGGGGCACTATTCCTCCCACTGACACCAACGATGGGGCACTATTCCTCCCACTGACACCAATGATGGGGCACTATTCCTCCCACTGACACCAATAATGGGACCGTATTCCCCCCACTGACACCAATGATGGGGCACTATTCCTCCCACTGACACCAGTGATGGGGCACTATTCCTCCCACTGACACCAATGATGGGGCACTATTCCCCCCACTGACACCAATGATGGGGCACTATTCCCCCCACTGACACCAATGATGGGGCACTATTCCCCCCACTGACACCAATGATGGGGCACTATTCCCCCCACTGACACCAATGATGGGGCACTATTCCCCCCACTGACACCAATGATGGGGCACTATTCCCCCCACTGACACCAATGATGGGGCACTATTCCCCCCACTGACACCTATGATGGGGCACTATTCCTCCCACTGACACCAATGTTGGGGCACTATTGCTCCCCATGATGCCAACGATGGGGCACTATTCCTCCCACTGACACCAATGATGGGGGCACTATTCCTCCCACTGATACCAATGATGGGGCACTATTCCTCCCACTGACACCAATGATGGGGCACTATTCCTCCCACTGACACCAATAATGGGGCTGTATTCCCCCCACTGACACCAGTGATGGGGCACTATTCCTCCCACTGACACCAGTGATGGGGCACTATTCCTCCCCCACTGACACCAATGATGGGGCACTTTTCCTCCCACTGACACCAGTGATGGGACACTATTCCTCCCACTGACACCAGTGATGGGGCACTATTCCTCCCACTGACACCAATGATGGGGCACTATTCCCCCCACTGACACCAATGATGGGGCACTATTCCCCCCACTGACACCAATGATGGGGCACTATTCCCCCCACTGACACCAATGATGGGGCACTATTCCCCCACTGACACCAATGATGGGGAACTATTCCCCCCACTGACACCAATGATGGGGAACTATTCCCCCCACTGACACCAATGATGGGGCACTATTCCCCCACTGACACCAATGATGGGGCACTATTCCCCCCTGACACCTATGATGGGGCACTATTCCTCCCATTGACACCAACGATGGGGCACTATTCCTCCCCCCACTGACACCAACGATGGGGCACTATTCCTCCCCCCACTGACACCAATGATGGGGCACTATTCCTCCCACTGACACCAACGATGGGGCACTATTCCTCCCACTGACACCAACGATGGGGCACTATTCCCCCCACTGACACCAATGATGGGGCACTATTCCCCCCACTGACACCAATGATGGGGCACTATTCCCCCCACTGACACCAATGATGGGGCACTATTCCCCCCACTGACACCAATGATGGGGCACTATTCCCCCCACTGACACTATGATGGGGCACTATTCCTCCCATTGACACCAACGATGGGGCACTATCCCTCCCCCCACTGACACCAACGATGGGGCACTATTCCTCCCACTGACACCAACGATGGGGCACTATTCCTCCCACTGACACCAACGATGGGGCACTATTCCTCCCACTGACACCAACGATGGGGCACTATTCCTCCCACTGACACCAACGATGGGGCACTATACTTCCCACTGACACCAATAATGGGGCCGTATTCCCCCCACTGACACCAATGATGGGGCACTATTCCTCCCACTGACACCAGTGATGGGGCACTATTCCTCCCACTGACACCAATGATGGGGCACTTTTCCTCCCACTGACACCAGTGATGGGACACTATTCCTCCCACTGACACCAGTGATGGGGCACTATTCCTCCCACTGATACCAATGATGGGGCACTATTCCCCCCACTGACACCAATGATGGGGCACTATTCCCCCACTGACACCAATGATGGGGCACTATTCCCCCCACTGACACCAATGATGGGGCACTATTCCACCCACTGACACCAATGATGGGGCACTATTCCCCCCACTGACACCTATGATGGGGCACTATTCCTCCCATTGACACCAACGATGGGGCACTATTCCTCCCCCCACTGACACCAACGATGGGGCACTATTCCTCCCCCCACTGACACCAATGATGGGGCACTATTCCTCCCCCCACTGACACCAATGATGGGGCACTATTCCTCCCACTGACACCAATGATGGGGCACTATTCCCCCCACTGACACCTATGATGGGGCACTATTCCTACCACTGGCACCAATGATGGGGCACTATTCCTACCACTGACACCAATGATGGGGGCACTATTCCTACCACTGATACCAATGATGGGGCACTATTCCTCCCATTGACATCAGTGATGGGACACTATTCCTCCCACTGACACCAATGACCTGGCACTATTCCTCCCACTGATACAAATGATGGGGCACTATTCCTCCCACTGACACCAATGATGGGGCACTATTCCCCCCACTGACACCTATGATGGGGCACTATTCCTACCACTGACACCAATGATGGGGCACTATTCCTACCACTGACACCAATGATGGGGCACTATTCCTACCACTGACACCAATGATGGGGCACTATTCCTACCACTGATACCAATGATGGGGCACTATTCCTCCCATTGACATCAGTGATGAGGCACTATTCCTCCCACTGACACCAATGATGAGGCACTATTCCTCCCACTGCAAAATTACAGTTATGAAGTAGCAACGAAAATAATTTTATGGTTGGGGGTCACCACAACATGAGGAACTGTATTAAGGGGTCGCGGCATTAGAAAGGTTGAGAACCACTGTTATAGACCAATAGAGATATTGTGGGTGCACTCCAAAAAGATGCCACGTCCCTATTTCTAAAATAGAATGTACTGCTAAACCCCCTATGGGACTTTTTATGCACTCATATCACAAATTTATAGTAAAAAAACAGTAGCCATTTTATTCGTACAATTTTAAAAGGATAAGAACCAAACATAATTACTGCTTTATGTGCATTATATCATACATAAAGTGTACAGAACAATGTGTCATAAGTAGTACGATAGATTTGATGTGTTTCCATTCCTCCATTGTGTTTCAGAGATACATAGCGCCTTCTTCAGGGAATTCAAGGATTCCACACATCTCTATAATATAATTATATACTATAGATATTATACAAACTGTGAATAAAAATTCATATATTTTGTTTCATGTATGGTATAATGAATTATATGTATATGCTACTTACAAAGATGACAATGATTACATGTAGAAAAAGCTGTAACATATAAAAACAACAAATATAGACATCACTGCTCAACCCAGATGGACAAAGAAGGAGTGCAGATAACCAAGCCTCATGGACAGCAAAGGGGAGAGAAGGCACCCAAAGACAACTGAGGTCTACAGGATGTAGAAAAATGATTCCTAATTTAATGTCCATATATCTTAGAACGACCTTATTACTCCACTGTTATTTCAGCAACACCAAAAATCAAATGCTAAATCCTACCTGTGGAGTATCAATTCCTTAGGAGAAGTCCATAATGAATATAATGAAAAAATAAATAAACAATAAACATTGCCACCAGGTATAATTATTTTACCAGGTGGGAAGATTGGTGTCAAGTTATATTATATGGACTTCAGTATGAGATAAATCGGTGGGATAAAAACAACCAAGCTTCTCTATGCAAGATAGTAAGGCAAGTAAGATGGATTGCACTGAAAACTTCATGCAGATAAATAGATAAAGAACTATGGTCCAACAAGGAAAATCAGCACTTAGAGTTACTAAGCTTATGACATAGCATGGCATTCATATAACAATGTGACAAACTGCTGAGCTTCTCTTACCTACAATCTCAAAAGCATGGAATAGTCTGTAGCCACTCAGAACAAGAGACACCAATCGCACCATGCTGCATTTTTGCACAGCTTAAATAGGAATGAATCATTTTTAAATTGCCAACACCTGAATCTAATGTTTGTTATCCATTTACTGCTGTCTGGCAACCAAAAACATGGCCCCGTGAGCTTGTGCGCGTGGCTTCACCCCTTCCTGCCATCCGATGCAATTGTGTCATCACATTGCGGGATGATGTCACGTGCACATAGTCCACCAGCACACACTTCCGCAGGCTAAAAGAATACGCAGTATAGTTGATGGGAGGGGGCAAGCACCAGGAAAATAGCAACCGCCAACAACCCCATCACCATGGATGCCGCCAGGGAAAAGGACGCAGACATGTCCTATTCCCACCAAGCAGTGTGTGTGTGCCGGGCGGCTGTTGTGTGCCGCCCCCATCCACCCAATACAGCAGAGGAAATAACGCCATCTAGGGGTTAAAAAAAAAAAAAAAAATAAGTGACATCTGTAAAGCCAAAAAAAGAGGAAAAAAATAAACACAAAAACAAAACAGCAAACAATATATAAGGCACAATACATATCAGGAAAATTGAAACAAGACATATAGAGGCCTGTTAGTTGACAATTATGCTCAAACAGAGGGCTATAAATGCAACTATAACAATAGATTCTCATGTATGTGCAGCTGGCAATATCCAAGTGGTACATTAGGTCACATAATAATGAACTGCACATTGGCAAAACTAAACAGGAACATTTGTATTTATATTTCCAGATCCCCCCCCCCCGAGACAAAGCCCTCTAAAAAGGACTTGAAACTCACTGCCTCATTTAACCCTGAGAGTGAGGTGACTTTTCATTTGAAAATCTAATTTAGTTCCATTTGGAGGAGTGTTTTGTCCCAATCTCCTCCTGTTACAGTGTATGCAACCCAATATCAGAAATGTAATTCTCGGACATTTACCTTAGTGTATACTAAGGGATATGTCTGGGTCACATTCTTACATGCTCTTAATGTGCCTATAGGTACGTTTCCAAAAGTCCAGCTTAGTCTTGCCAATGTAGTAACAACCACATTCACAAAGTAAGAGATAGATCACACCAAATGTCTTACAATTTGCATATGCTACCCCTGAGAAAGGAGCTACAGTATGTATGTGTTTCTGAATGGAAACACATCAAATCTATCATACTACTTATGACAAGTTGTTCTGTACACTTTGTGTATGATGTAATGCACAAAAAGCCATACATATGTTTGGTTGTAACCCTTTTAAAATTTTACGAATAAAATAACTATTGTATTATTACTATAAAGTTGTGATACGAGTGCCTAAAAATTCCCATAGGGGGTTTAGCAATACATTCTATATGATATATGTTACACAAAACCCCTTTTTATAAGTTGCAGCACCTTCACAACAAAGGTGCACACAGTTTTGTTGACATGGCATGCTTCATATGTGGCTTTTAGATTTTCTGACTTAATTGCAAATACTGGCAAGCATATATCTTAGATATCATGTGCCTGGCACTACAACTGTGACTAATTAAGATTTAATATAAAGAAAAATCTTTTTACTCTACTCCAAGTTTATTTTGTCTGTAAATACTGTATTAGAAACAAAGTACAAAAGCAAAGAGAGAGTCACATCATCTTTATTTCAGCATACTGTACATGCAGTGCAATATGTTAGATAAAGGATATCAGAAGACAGGTTTTTGTTTTTATCATCATTGATTAGTGGCAATGTAAAACAGACTATTTTTTTTATACATCAGTCATGAACAACAGGGTATAAAAAATTGTGATTCGGCCCTATTTATGTTTCTCAGAACTCTTATTAGCTAGCTTATTCATTGGGGCTATCCATTTATTGTGTAAATTGTTAAGGTGCCACGGTTACATTAAATGGGGTCTCACAATATCAAACTATTTTGGTTTCAAGACTGAGTTCTAGGGTTTATGCCTGGATAGGGAAAGGCTTTAAGGGGGTGGTTTTGTCAGTAGCATAGTGTGGGGCAGGGCAGCCAGTGCAGTCACCCTGGGTGCAACATTTAGAGGAGCACAGGCAGGGCTGGCGCCACCATAAGGCAGCTCAATCAGCCACCTTAGGGTGGCAGCATGGGGGGGGGCAGTAAAATCCAAATCCTCAGCCACTTGCTGGGGATTTGGATTTTTTAAATACCTGTCAACTCGGCAGGCAAACTAAAACCTCCACACTACACCCGGTAGGAGAGAGGGTGCAGCGTGGTGGTTTTAGTTTACCTGCTGTTTGGTTTCTGTCATTGAGAAAGCAGGGAGAATGGATCCAAGCATGCAGAGGAGGGCACAATGGTGTGCAAATGCAGATCCCACTCCCAAGTGTGTGCAGGCAATGAGCATGGGGGGGGGGGGTGTCAGGCGGGAGTGCTGGCAGAGGAGGTCATGGTGGAGGAGGCTCTCTGCTGGTGGCTGCAGCTGCCGCCACCACCAGGTATCCTGCTGGAGATATTCTCCTGCCTGCACAGGACACAGCAAACCCTCCTGTCCCTGGTGCTGTAGGACCAGTAAGATGCAGGGGGATCACGTGTGTGATGGGGGAGATGGGAATCTGGGGGATATGATCAGATTTTAGGGATCTGTTGGGGTATCTGGAGGTGTGATCAACATGAAGGGATCTGAAGGTGTGATCAGAGTGGAGGGATCTGGAGGTGTGATCAGAGTGGAGGGATGGGGGGGATCTGGAGATGTGATCAGTGTGGAGGGAGGGGGGGATCTGGGGGTGTGATCAGAGTAGAGGGATCTGATGGGAGATCTGGGGATATGATGAGAGTAGAGGGAATCTGAGGGTGTGATCAGAGTGGAGGAATGTGGGGGTGTGATCAGAGTGGAGGAATCTGGGGGGTATCTTGGGGGTGTGATCAGGGTGGCTTAACACCACTGAAAAGGTGCATTTAACAGCTGCTTTTATAAAAAGGTTTCTTTTCTTCTTTTTTTTTTTGCAGGGGGTGCATCTCCACTGGAAAAA